AACAAGAAAAGGGGGTGGATAGAGGAGGAAGGCAAGTGCAAAAGAAATCTAGAGAGAATGATAGAGTGGGAGGACCAAAATGTCACACTGCAGAAATGGGGTGGGGTGGAGGGGACAGAGTAATGAGACAGCTCTGAACCTTCCAACTATGATTTTTACTATCCAATGACCCAAATGACCGTAATATATCTGAGCTGGCTCTAATGGCGTCGTTGATCAATACTGGCGTGTGATTTTTTCTGCCAAGTGCTGAGACATCAAGTCTTAGACCCTGTAAATAAAAACACCCATTAGATGACTTAACATCCCTTTAAAGTATTTCTCTAATTAGGATTAAAGAGACATGAACTGTAGGAAGGGGAATCAAATCAGTTCACAGGCAGTTTGATCTGCTTAAACGCTGAGTTTCCCTAATGACTGAAGTTCTGAGTGATTCTACTGTCCAACCATCTGGGAAGGGGGGGGGGCTTAACTCCTCTTTACTGAGAGAACAGCAGAGAAAAAAAAACCCTGCTTTCTTCTGGCAGAGTCCTCTGGCAAAAGCCGTATCTCGCAAATCTCCTTCACTAAAACACTTTTACAAGTTTCTCATCTTGCCTTACTTATCATTTTCTTGCAAAGAGGGTGATCCTTCTAAAGCAGTCTCAAGCGATAGGCCTTCAGGCTTCATGAAGTTCTTTGGCGTTTCTCGGTTTTAATTGATTTTTAGCTGAGCTGGGACTGATTTAATAGGCTCAGCGGTTGGATCACTCTGACTGTCAAACAGTCTAATATCAGGTCAGTTAAAGTAGGGTCAAAGAGGTCAAAGGTTCAACAGGGAGCCAAAGCATCCCTATCCATAGAAACACTCACCAGCTCCTCTATGAACACCCTAATATGGTGTTATGACAACGGAGGATAAATGTTCTTCTTTAAGATCTAGGTCAGCTTTACAAGTGGAATGAGTCCAAAAACATCTAAGGGAACCCTGAACTACAGTAGGACCATCCATAGGCGAGAGTTAGTAATACATATAGAATACTTACAGGTATCTAACCCTTTTGACATGTGGTAATAATGTGTTTTTAAAAACAGAAAATACATTTTATTGTAGTTTATCTTTCACCAGCTCAGCAATACACTGAACTAAAGTGATCCTTTGGTTGTTAAACAAATGATTTATACATTGTTACCATTAAAAAGACATCCTGAGCTATCTCTATAGTTTTGCTTCTATGGGGTTGGACTGCTGGAGGACATAGGGAGCACTTTTTTCTCACTCTGCTTCATTCTTGTCTATTCTTCCATTCTGCAGTATACTCTCTAATGTTATGCTCTCTGCTTTTTCTCATCATACTAGCTTCATCTGGTCTCCAACCAGAGAAATATCAACACCTCTGTTTATAGATGTTGGAGCTTGGCCTGTTTTTCAGTGCAGTCCTGTTTCGCTGACTGTGACTAACTGTGTGCTTTCTTTCATCCTCTGACATGGGAGCTGGCTTGGAGCTCGTCTGCCTGGCTGTGTGTTTCCTGGACGGGGCCGCCTGTGGAGCTGGTTTTATATCTCTGCTTCTTTCTGTACGTCTGCTTCTGTCTCCTTGAACCCCAGTCGGCCTCAGCAGATGGTTGTTCACACTAAGCCTGGTTCTAATGGAGCTTTCTTCCTGTTAAAGGAGAGTTTTATTCTCCACTGTCGCTACAAGCATGCTTGATGTGAGAGATTGCGTTTTGGTCAATGAGTCGATGCAATCAGTTGGTTTTTCTTAGATAGAAAACTTTGAACAGATCTGACTGGATGACCTGGCCTTGAGATGACGTGTGTTGTGAATTGGTCCTATATACATCAACTGAAATCTAGTGTTAACATTTGGTCAATCAGTCTCCGCATTTAGCGGAGTTTAAAAAAAATTGACTAAAATCAAGATTTGGTTCAACAAAAGTGGTTACCAGATACAAGTGGTTGTATTTATTATTACGAAAGTCAAGTGGAACATAGAGTGGAGTTATTGGGAAAAAAAAAGGCCGATAATGATATTGCTTCAACCATCTGTGCAAACAGGCCAGATTAGCATCATTTGGAGTCTGGGGCCTCACAAAATCAGTCCAAGGGGCTACATATGGCCCCCAGCCTAGACTTTAGATCCCCCTAATAATTCCAGTAGCCCTGTGATATTGGAGACACTGATACTGTAATGGTGATTATCAGTTGATATAATGTACAGGTCTACTGGGATCCATTCCAAAGCCTTAGATGAAGGGGAGCCATTTTTTTTTTAATATAGTACCATAGTTATTGCATCTCTGGCTGATTGTAGAGGGATTGCTGATGTACTGTGGGTTATAACTCCTCTCTCAGGGTGCCATCAGAAGAAGTTTCACCTCCAGGTGAAGAGAGACCTGAAGTTTACAGGTAGCTTAAACCAGGATGTAAATAAGCTTTTACACTAATCCGAACAAAGGACACTATCAGAGGAAACAAACTTGCGTCTGTTAAACCAGAAAGCTTTTGTGTGAAAGAGTCTTTTAACTGACACTCAAGAAATGCTTAAGCGAGGCTTCTGTTAGGATGTAACAGGGTTAAGATACCTGAAGAAGAGGGGCTCGGATGAAACCAAATGTAAAATACACTGTTAGATGTCGGGGCTGTTCTATGCGAGGTAGACGTCCAGTAGGACCAGAGCAGACCACAGATGTGGTCACTATATATAAATAAAGATTGACCAATAGCTAATCCCTCCCTCCGCTCAAAAGAGAACAAACCCAGATTAAATCCACTGAAACTAGTGGAAACCTTTCATCATTTCTCAGCGTCTAACCAGATAATTTGACTTCATTCTGAAAAACACTCATTAACATTATGTTCACAATGTAGCTTAGGTTCTGCAGCATTTGGCAGGCGACAGTGGGACTGACATCTGTTTAGTAGATCAGCGGCATTTGCCCAGCGTCTGATAAAACATCTGAGAGAAATATGTTCTGCAGTGTATCATCAGAGATGACAGGAAGTGATCCCACTCTGGTCTCATCATGCATGACAGCTGTAAGACAAGGGATCCATCTGAGTGATTAGCAGCGGTACAGACTGGCTGTCGTCTGCGACGGATCGATCTGGGTCGACCGACTCCATCATCTACCTCCCAACCCCTACCTTCTGTGGGATTGGGGCTCCAGTGAGAGATTTAGAGAGGAAATCCTCCCAGAAACACTGTATTTAAAACAATTACAACGTTCTGATCAAACGTGATAAAAAAAAAAAAAAGAAATCTTAAAAGAATCAATTTCTAAGGTGAAACAGGGTAGTGGCATCATAATGCTGAGAGTGCAGTCACACTGCACTACTTTCCATTACCATAAATGGAAAAAATACATAAATGTGTGTGGTTTTCACATGGAAAAAGTTAAAATAAACACCTAAATCGTGTTTATAGCCTTGCAGGTCACACAAGAGGTGCAACAGGTAACGTGGAAGCTCAACTGACAGCAATAAAACACAAAGACAGCAGAAGTTTGGCGTTATCTAACAGATGAGCTAAGGGAAAATAGTCCTTTTTTAAATATGATCACCACCCCGCAAAAACGATCTAGAAATGAGTAAAAATGTCTTAAAATTTGTGTATTTAGCATAATTCAAGCAAGTAAATAATAAGATTTGCCAATGAAATGAGTATTTTTACTCTTAAAATGAGATAATTAGATAATATCCACTTGGAATAAGACAACGCAATTGTTTTTTCTTATTTTAGATGTAAATTGCCTTATTCCATTGGCAAAGTGTATCACTTTACTGCTTAATTCAAGAAAGAAATGGTCTTTTTTAAAGAAAAATAAACTTACTTAGATTTCAATTTTTTGCAGCAGGGATACAAAATATTTAGGGCCGGGACTTTAACACGTTCATTTCGATTACTTCATTAGAAACCTTCATTAGAAACGCATTAATAAAATCAACACAATTGCATTTTCTCATATTCATATTAAAGTCCCAAGTGGGAACCTTTGTACTCGCTGTTTCTTGTCCACCCATAAATCTGACGCACAAGTGGCACCATAGGAGTTGGTCCACTGGGGATATTAACGCCTAAAATCCATCATGGCTCGATCTGAAAACATCCAATCGTTATGGACATCTACTGTAAGCTACAAAGTGCCTCAGTAGTAAATGTTTTAATTGCACTAAATGCTGCACATTGAATAGCAATTGTTAAGCAACGCTTTAAGCAGAGCTGAACTCTCATAGTTTTGTTTGTACACTGGAAAAAATCTAAATCTAGATAAGTCATTTTTTTCTTAATATAAGCCCATTTGTTCTTGAATTGAGAAGGAAAAAGAGACATTTTGCCAATGGAACAGGATGATTTACATTTAAAATTAGAAAAAAATGTTTTGCATTGTCTTATTTAAAGTGCATTTTATCTAAAACTCTTATTTTAAGAGTAAAAATACAAATTTCATTGGAAAATCTTCTCATTTACCTGCTCAAATTAAGGGTAAATACACTTGCGAGAGATATTTACTTCTCTAGATAGTTTTTCCAGTGTATTGGAAACAAAACTATCTCCTTTTTTATAGGAAATATTGTCCGTCTTGTTACTTTATATATTTTACACATAATGTCCATGTACTGTCCACACTCCTATAGAAGTAGTTTTTCAAATAAATTGA